TTTTAAAAACCCTAAATGTGTTCAGTTTCTAAGTCTCTGGTATTTTTAAGTTACTTACTCCTTACTAATTTCATAAGCCAAATTGTGGCAGGCATCCAAGATTTAAGAGAAATTTGTAAAAGGAAAAACTTAAAAATTGGGATAATTTGACTATTTGCTTCTATATGATTGAAAAAGAACACCATTAATCAATTTTAGCAGTTTTCAACATACCCTGACTACATGTCCAACCTCCTGACCCAGGCCTTATCTATGCCCAGACATATCTTTATTTGGATGTTGCAGTTTTATTTTGGAGGTGGGTGGGGATGCGGTCAGTAGGAAAAAGAGACAGGGAGGACACACAGCCCAACAAACCAAAGATAAGAGAGCAAAGTCTTTTACAGTATTCCTGCTCCATGCAACACTCGAGAGAGCCCAAAAGGCAAGTGAAGCTTGAAGAACTATGGGGAAATGACCAAAATTCACTAATCCCAAAAAAAGTTACTGAGCAACTGCCATGTGCCAGGCACTATTTCACATTAAGCCTTAGGGATGTAAAGATTCCTGCCCTTATGGAGCTCACACTCCAGGCAACTGGGGAAGGGAGAGTAATTTTACAGACATCAGTTATATTAACTAAGTACAAGAGAGGACAGGTGAGCTCAAATCTTCAAAGGTCACCTCTGGAAGGATTTAATTTTAAGAGAGAAGATTCAGATTACCCCAGAAAAGAGCAATTTCTCCTATCCAGATCTGATATTGTATATATATCTCTGAATACAGGAAGAGAAAATGATCATAAATGTCTTTATTTCATTTTATTTTGCCAGTAATACCTCCTGAAGGAAATAGGCCAAGCTAAATGTGTCTCTCAAGGAAAAGAAAACTTCTTTCTTGCCTTCATGTCTCAGATCTATTAATCAATAAGTGTTATTGCTTCTTCCAATAATACAATATCCCATCTGTTTTCTGTTATGACTGCTACAGTTTTTGAGGAGATAATTTTCATCCCTTCGTTCAATATTTATTAAGTGCTACCAAATATCAGGCAGTGCCCTGGGCCTGGGCATCCAGCTGGTGAATAAACACTAAGTTCCTGCCTTCACATACTCTTTCCTCACTGCAGCTCCCCAGCCTGGTAATCGTCCTGGAAAAGAATCCATCACATTAATTTTTTGAGCTATCAACAGCTCCACACTATTATCTGCTGAAGTCCAAAATCTCAGTTTGACTAAAGGTTTAGCTGGATGGATGGATGTACTGCCCGCAGCCAGCCTTATCTTACTACACACCTACAGATGCGACGTCTTTAAGTTAGATCCGGGCAGACTTCTGGCCCAGCACAACATTTTGGGGGAGGGAAGGGGTTGTCCTTTTAGTCCTGGTGTGTTTGTCATCTTGTATGCCTGTTTCCTCTGAAAGGCCCTATATTTACTACTCCATACCTATGTTGATTTTATCCTTCTGGGTCCAAATTAAGCCTTACCACATTAAAATACTTACTACATGTCTTCAAACTAAGCCAACTTAAAACAACCTATTCCCTACTACTTACTCCTTCATATGTATGCTTGTATCTAATTTCTCCCTTGCTTTGAGGCCTCTGAATTATTCTCAAGCTACTTCATGTATACTTGCTTTATCTTTCTAGTAATTGGTAGGCTCTTTCAAGAGACATATTTTTTTCTTTTTCCCTTTTTTTAGATAGCAGCAGTTTGAGAGACCACACATTTTCTTTTCCTTTTGTGACAGTATCCTAGTCATGTTGTAGGACCTTAATAAATTATATCCTTTGGTGATATTAGGAAGATATCAACAATGTTAACCATTTACATTTGTTGAACACACGAGAGGAAAAGAAATTATTTGAATGTTAGGACAAAGTGACTTTAAACCAAACTATAAGCCCCTTGAGGGCACTGACCATGCTGTAACAGTCACGGCTGGCCTTTTCTGTGGATTGGACTATGAGCCTACTGTGCTAAGTAAGCCCTTCGTATGTATTATTCCATTCAACTATCACAACAACCTATGAAGTACGTCTGATCGCTACCCACATTTTATATGGAGGAAATTAAAGTGGAGGGACATCAAGTAACTTCTCTAACTTGATATAACTAGTCAGTGGTTAGAGCTTTTAATTATTACTGTTTCCCTCTAGGAGAAGAAGTATGTCCGCACATCTTCGGAGCCTGGTCTTGGCATCCTGGCTCTTAGAAGGTAAGAGACTGCATTCGAGAAAGAAGACGGATGGAAGTAGCTCAAGGACAAGTAAGAGCCAAAGCCTGGCTTGAGGCTTCTGCACTGCTGGCCTGCACGGTACACGGATGAAGCAGAGAAGAGGGCAGATGAAAAGAGAAGAGGGGAAGAGGGATGGAGAAAGGAAAAGAGGAAGGGTACGAAGGGAGAGAGAGAAAGAAGAGACAGACAGTAGCTCCTTAACTGTAATGAGTAACAAAAACAAGCACACCAGAGTTAATAGCACAGAAGAAGGGAGAGTTCTCCGGAGAGAAGGCAAAGGCACTGGTAAAGAGTCCTGAGAAGAGGGTGTGGTGGCGCACAGAGAGCTGTCCAACCTGAGAGCCTTGGGCTGCCCAAGTCCTAGCACACCCCATGCATTGGGAGACACTTACAGAGCAAGAGAGGCGGTGGCAGCAGTGAACAGAAGGAGGTGCCCAAGGGATCCAATAGCACCTGAGAGGAGCAAACAGGAAAGTGAGAGCTGGTGGGAGGCTGTCCAGGAGCCACCACCCAGGTGCTGATCTGCCAGGGCACTCACCTCCACGGCAGGCCTGGATGAAGAACATTTTCGGCTTGTTCTGAAGGTTTGGGCAGCTGGCGTTGTCAAAGAGCCGAAAAACCTCTTGAAGCTGCCAGAAAGAAAGAAAAGAGGAGGGAGGTTAAGTAGACCGGAGGCCTTCCTGAGGCCTACATGTACCACAGCAGCCGTTACCAGAGAGACAGGCGGGCAGAAGGGGAGGTGGCCCAGCGTGAAGAGCTGTCAGCCACAAGGCGACACACACCTGAAGCAGTCGGCCATCCACACCATAGATGCCTCCCTCCACACCATGAGAGAGAAGTGCCACAATACAGGAGTCAGTGACACGGTGGGCAGGTAACTGGGCAAAATTCTGAAGTTTCTCTTGCATTTCCTGGAGGAAAAACACCTTTTAGTGTTGTTCACTGCAGTCTGCAACAACATAATCTTTCTTTGGTGTCTGAAACCCTAAGCCATTACAAGAAAAAATGTTTTCTGTATATTACTGTGGTCAATGATAAGTCAGAGACCCCAGGAGAGGCCAAAAAAGCTACAGACTCATCAGAAAAATGCATGACTTCAGACACAGAATTCTGAATATAATTTCACAAAATCCAGATTCACTATGTTAAGAACACCTGGACTAAACCAAGTTACTAATAAAGCTCGTTTATGAGCTAGTTAACTTTATCCACTCCCCAATCATCAACCCGATCCTTTTTTTTTAGAACATATAAATGGCACAAAGGGGACCACGAACTGAGCTATGAATGAGTAAAATACCTTTCCAGCCATAAGCAAATAAACCGTTCTGATAAAGCGCTACTGGAATCATAATAGAGAATAATAGTACTTTCATGCTGTTTTCGGTCTGAGATTTTAAGTTCCCAGAGACATGATGATATCTGCATAAAATGCTCCATTCACGGAAGAGCACACTGTCTGGAGAATTCTGCACAGGGCCATGGTTACATACATGGGCTATAGGATCAGACAGACCTAGGTTTGACCCCTGGGTTCACAAATTGGAACCAGTTATTTGGCCCCTCAAAGCTCTAATACCCATTTTGTAAGAAGATAATTAAGAGTATATTTTCTCCAATTTCATAAAGATTAAATGAAATACTATAGAGAAAGGATTTATAACGATGTCTGGCACATACTGCAAAGTTCTGCCATTATGATAATGTGCATATCTAACAAGGAGTAGCAATGTTATCTTTTCAAAGAAACCTACTACTGGCCAGTCTTGTAGTCCAACTTAAGAATCTTCTCTATGGTGCACCAGGTTGCCATAGACGAGTATCACTCTACCTTAAGCATTTGGCCCATCCAATGGAAAGTTATACAAAATAGTAAATAATGTGATACAAACTATTATATCTATGTCTTCCTCTACAACTCAAGAAGTCTGAGTGGTCTCTCCTATTTGAGACCAGAAGAAAACAAACAAGCTCATTTTACTATGAATTTTAGTGAACTCTAATGAGTGTAACAATAGCAAACCAGGCAGGACAGTTACAGCAGAGCTTTACTTAACAGTTACCAGGGGCAGCTCCCAATAAAAAGCACACATGTGTAATACATTGCAGCAGTTCCAGAAACTTGCAAGAAATGCAAAGTTTTGGGTCCCAGCAAACTATGTTTTAATAAGCCCTCCAGGTGATTCTGACATGCTAAATTTGAGAACTACTGGTCTATTTGTTTGGAATACTTCTGTTTGCAGATAACTGAGAAAATTATATAGAAGACTTGAAAGTCTGTAACTGAACTGGAAATGAAGAAACTGGCTTTATTGAAAAGTATGTACACTTTCTGGGCAAAGAGAAGCCAATCATAATATTGGATATCTTAAGGTAATAAAAAGATACCCAGAACTCATTTAGTTCAAGAATATATAATCTCAAAAGAATACAGAAGTATGAATGTTCTTCTGGAGTTGGCCATAATAGAATTTTTTTTTTTTTAAGATTTTATTTATTTATTTGAGAGAGAGAGAGAGAGAGCGGTGGGGGGACGCAGAGGAGCAGAGGTAGAGGAAAAGCAGACTCCCTGCTGAGCAGGAAGGTTGATGGACCTGAGGGATCATGGGGGGAAGCCTGAAGACCCTGGGATCATGACCTGAGCTGAACGCAGACGCTTAACCAACTGAGCCACCCAGGCGCCCCTTTAATAAAATTTTAATCCAGAGTAATTGATGTTAATTTTGCTGGAAGAAGGCAATAAAAATGTATATTTGGCATCTACTCACGAGCATTTTGAACTCAAGTGAGACTCTTAGGTCAGTAAATAGAGGACAACAAAGCCCAAAGTAAGAACACACACACTCAGTAATCAAATTTAATAGTACTAACTGGTAACTGGGGGTTATTCATTTGGGGGAAATTTTTCCAAAAGTAGCATAGCTTAAAATAGGATCTCTAGATTTATTTCTGATAAAATTACAGTACTTCTAAAAATAGCAAGGTTCTTAACTCTTGCCTGGGTTTTTGGCTGGAGGCTGGGCGACACAAGGGAATAAACTATAAACCCTCTGAGATGATATGCAAAATTTTATGGCTAGCTGCATTTTCCAGGGATGACCCATAGAGCATCCTTACATTTTCAAGGCAGTCTGTGTCCCAGATGCAAGTTAAAAATCAATACCACATGGTAAAAGGAAATTTGCCACTTTAAAATGTATCTCCATTTCCTAATATATGATAAATTGTAATTCTAGAACTAATAACCTCAGGAGGGAGGCACGGTGACAGAAGACTTTGATGACAAAGAGAAAAACTGAAAACCTACATAAGCAGTGAGAATACCAGTGTACTGTCCAGCACTGTCAAGTGAAGAGGATTATCTAAAACTGTACTACTTCAAATTTTTAAATGCAATTATTTCTAAAGTCAAAAGGTATAATGGGGGGGAAAAAGATCTTAATTTTTTTGGTTCTCTTTCCTCATCAAATAATCACATGATTAAAGAGTTGAGTCTCTTGAGAAGTCTGACCAGGAAGAAAGTACTCTGTGCAGATGCCCAAAGAACCAAATTATCATACCCATTGTAACTACTTGGTTTTAACTGTATCGGAGAAGTTGATAGGCCACTGATGGAAACTGACTTTGCAATATCCTCCTCACATTTCTGAATCTCCAGAGCTGAGAACAAGGCTACACAGGGAGGGTTCTATCCCAAGGTTCAGTCCTATGCCTTTTGCTCTTGTTAGTCTACTCTCCTTCTCAAAGATCCCATACTCTCATCCCTTAAAGTATTTCTCCTACACAGGTAATGCCCAAATTTACATTTTTGGCCCTGACTTCTCTGAGACCCTCAATTCCTTACTTAATTTTTCAATCTTCTTCCATATGCAGTCATTCAACCACCTAATGGTACAATCATGCCATTATGCTATTTTCTACAAATATTCTTTCCCTCTTGGTCTACTATTCTGTCCAGGCTCCCAACATCTGGTATTGGCATTATATCAACTCCAAACTGGATTCCCTGCCACTGGTCTCTTACTTCATTCTTTTCAATGGTGCTTTGAATCATCACTGTGAATTTATCACCTTTCTGTTAAAAAAAAAAATTACTAATGGTTTTCTAAAACAAGGAAGTTCAAGGCCTTGGCATTCTGATCCCTTTATCTCCAATCTTATTTCTGGCACTCCTTTGCCCTAGGCAACTGGTTTACCCTAATGTCCCTAACATCACACACACATTTCCCCTCTCTCTGCTATTCTCCCTGCCTAGGACCCCTTCACCACTCCTCTGTGCTTTAGTGGCTTCTTTCAAGGCCAGCTCAAGTCTCACACCGTCCATTTACCCTTCTGACCAGATCTACCCAGGGGACTGTTTCTTTCTCTTAACTACTGTAGAAGACACTGTCTACTCCTGCTTGGTCCTTCAGAATATAAGGAGAAGTACTTCCATTTTTGCTGATGTCAAGACTCCTCATCTAACTGATGTCCTGTGAATTTCAGATTCACATTTAAAAAAATTTTTAGTATAGAAAACATAGTCCCCCACCATTATAAAGTGCTCAAAATTAACTAATTAATTTTTAAAGTAAGCTCTCCATCCAGCGTGGGGCTTGAACTCACAACCCCAAGATCAAGAGTCACATGCTCTTACACAATCATTCTCACAGAAGATAGCTAAGATACAAAAATAAAGACCACAGACAATGCTGAAGACAAAAGAGATTCCCTACCTTAACAAATCAAAGTGAATTTCCTAGAAACTTTGATTTTACCACTGACATTCCCAAAGGCAAGTTTAAGAAAGTGCTATTATTCTGGAATCAAAATGATTCCAAGGGATGGGGGAAATAGGTGATGGGGATTAAGGAGTGCACTTCTCATGATGAGTACAGAGTAATATACGGAAGTGTTGAATTACTATATTGTATACATGAAACTTTTTTAACACTGTATGTTAACTAACTGGAATTAAAATTAAAACTTTAAAAAAAAAGAGGAAAGGGATGGAAATGGAAAAAAAAAAAAAAAGAAGAATCAGTATCTATTTACCAATAGGCTACTATCAATTTCAGAACAGAAATACCTAAAGGTAACTAAGTCAGCAGTATAGCTCAGTAATTGGGGTTAACAGGGAATAATAGATAATGAAAATGCTTGTGATTTGCAGGGATCTAGTCTAGAAGTAATCGCCCCTAAGATCTTTCTTGTGGTCACAGAGCTGGTAAGAGGAAGGAATTTCCCCATGTTAACTCATTAAGCTGCCACGGACAGTTCCAGCAAACTTCCATTTGCGAGAATGTCATCTGCCAAAGTAATCTTTTGAACAATAACTAGACTTGTAAGCAACAATATCAAATCAAGAAGTAAATGTCCTGGGTCGCTTTGGCTTATAGATATCTTTCCTGATTGGCTGGGTGAATCTCAGAGTCTCCTCACATCCTGAGTGACTGGGAATCAAGTCTCTGAATATGTAAGAATAACAACCCGACCTGGGACTGGTATTACTCAAGGAGAGCACACTGACGCTGAGAAGTTAACACTGAAGCAGCTGGTTTGTCCTAATTCTTTTTTTTTTTTTTTTCTTTAGATAGATTGCAAGGTGAGACACAGAACGGGATGAGTAAAAAGGTAAGGCGGAGAAAGTAACCTATCCAGTGGGCAGAGGAGCAGAGGATGTGCCTGGCTCCAGTGTTGCCCAGCTCTCCACTGTACACATTAGATGTACCTGTGCAGTCTGGTCAAGTAGAACATGGACTTTGTAGCCCAAGAGCTTGAAGAGGGTGACCAGAGTGCTGTGGTCCACATCCCCTCCAGAGCGAAACTCCAGGTCTTTCTCTCCAGTGAAGTGCACATTGCTCAGCACCAGTGCCAAGCCACGAGGCCGAGACTGCAACCGATAGGCCTGGCGGGGAGGGGGAGCCAATTAGAGCTTCTTATGGACAGAAACTGTTTCCCCAACTGAACGAGACATTGCAAGAAAACAAAGCCATCATATTCTTGTTCACCCCAAGTCAATATAGAGAAATGCCCAGAGAAGATAACCAATCAGTACTGACTTTCTGACCAACAAAACAAGAAGGAGATATATATGCAAACTAAGTTCAGGTGCCCAGGAAGGGTGTCTCATTTCCCAACTTTTCCTCTTGCATTCTGTAGGACTCACCAGCTGGTGGTGCGTTTGATAAAACTCGGGAGTGCAAGGCTTCACCTGAAGGCAGGGAGGACCATCTCCGTTGTCTAGGGAGTGTTCCACAGTATCTATGGCATAGAGAGCCGAAAAACTAGTGTACAATCTATGTGTCAATCCCAGTACTTCATTATAACCTAAGGCACCCTGTTGAACTGGGGTTTTAATAGTTAATGGTCTTGCTCACTCCCCTATATTAGAAGACCCATGAGGCCAGAGACCCTGTCTGCTTTTGCTCACCACTGGATCCTCTGCACTTAGCCCACACACAGTAGTGCTTAACCCACTGAATGACTGAATGGGATATCTGATAAAAGCCTTGTTCTGATCACTAGGCTACTCAGTCAGTAGGCTAGTGGCCTATAATGTAGTCTCTTCTCATCCTAACATAACAGCTTTAAGGAGCCAGGCCAGTCATGTGGAGGAATCTCCTACCTGTACCAGTTGCTCTAAGGACTAACTGCCATAAAAAAATCATCTGTGACGGAGGGAAAGCAGGCCCAACCAATACCCCATCTAAAGTCTCCTGCTAGTCCCTAACAAATTCACCAAGGAGACTGTTCCCAGTATGAATGAAAACAGGTATCGTGCTAGGGCAAAGTCAGATACCAGTCAAGAAAAAGTCAATCTGTGGGATGTGTTATCCCACTGATTCTCACCTGGAGACAGGCGGAGCTGCTTGCGAGGGGGACAGGACTCACACATCGGGAAGGGGAGACTCAAGTCGTAGTCACAGCTCAACTGTAAGAAATTAGGACCCACCATGCCAGGTCTTAGGGAGATGGTCCAGTGTGAACAAAACCATAATCTAGTCTCCCCCACCCTATCTCAAAAATTCCTTTCCCACCAAACTAACCCTTCTCAACACACATGTCTAGGGCTCCATACCGGTGGGAGTGCATGCTGAAGACCAGAGAGGGTTGTGAGCAACAGATCCTCCAGGTGACCCTGCTTGGTCTCCCTCAGGGCCACACAGAAGGCATCAAAAGCCTGGGGACCCCTCTTGGGCAGCAAGTTGAGAAGTTCCACATTTTGGCTGAAACTGCCCACTTTGGCCTAAGATAAAAGAATACAACATGAAATCATATTTACTTATTCAGCTATAATTCTATTTCACCAGATGCCCTTCCTAGTAATCTCAAGAATCCTTTTACAGGAAAAATATATGTATGGGGGAAGTCTTTCCTATTATTCTTAAATTATATATCTTTTCTGTTAAGGGCTTTAGGGTAGAAGGGCATTTTCATTTCCTTAGTAAGGTTCTACATCCTTGCCACACTTCATCATGCTCTGTTCCTACTCCTACGACCAATGTACTGACTTGGCGTTTCTCTTTTGCTTCCCAATACCTGAATGTGCTCTCTCATTTCCAAGGTGATGATGTCTTTCTCCAGGAGGTGCTCTAACAGTTCACTCAGCAACAGTTGTTTGGCTAGCACCACTCGGTTCTTTTTCAGTGCTTCCTGATGGTCAGGATGCATGCCACACACTCCCAATATCCTACAGAAAAAAGGCAGAGGGAAAAGCTGTCAAGTACAAGATTTGGCACAGAAGAGTGGAGTGGAAGAGGTGTGGGTAGGAAGAACAAAAAGAATGGGACTTACAATAACCAATATTAGGCATAGCTGGTTAAAATCAAAGTAGTATTAAGCAGTAACACACTAATCATAAGGAAATAATGTATAATTTTTTATAGAGTATGTTCCACTGAGACCATCTTCGGAGATGAATAGCCTGTCTAGGGGAAGGAAATACCTACCTTGACAAAAATAATAGACACAAAAGAAGGAATATTCCTCTGTCTGACAGACCAATTTCAATTAAGAGATATTCCAGAAAACCTTTCACAGTATTTATCTAGGCTGCTAAAAATAATATGAGTTAAGATGATCCTGAGTGAGGAAGAAAATAATTTGATACAATGGCAAAAGCTCAACCGAATGGCTGGCTTTAATAGGAAATAACTGAGACAGGCCGACACACACACATTACTCTCTAGCCCACTTCTATCAATTATACCTGTGGTCTTTGAAACTTTAGTTCCTGTGACAAAATGACACTAGAAATAATCAGAATCCTGTAGGAATTAAGAACTGAGTAAGTAGCAAGTATGACAGAAAGTTAGAGTAGATAAATGACAAACACAGTCAACATAACTTGAGATCACCTGCAAGAGTTAAAGCATAAAGGCTAAATTGTTTTGGTAATTTATTAGGGATGTCTTTATTTCAAGGATTTTTTGGTTTTGTTATTGGTTTGCAAAGAGATCAGCTTCTGTTTATGAATTTTAAAAATCCCATTTCCAGCAAATATCATCTCTGTCCCTAGTTTATATAAATGCAGACCTCCCCAGCTTGCTTAGTCAGTTTCCAAAAACATGACAACAATAAGGGCCTGATGGCAGTGAGAAAGGGATGAGGTAACAGCTTCAGTTTATAACTTAAAAACTATTGGGGCTCCTGGATGGCTCAGTCATTAAGCGTCTGCCTTCAGCTCATGTCATGATCCCGGGGTCCTGGGATTGAGCCCCGCATCGGGCTCCCCGCTCAGCGGGAAGCCTGCTTCTCCCTCTCCCACTCCCCCTGCTTGTGTTCCCTCTCTCGCTGTGTCTCTCTGTCAAATAAATAAAA